CTTCTGCAATGCTACGGTTGTTGATGTTATAAGAGATAAGGAAGAAGAAGACACATGATGATGATCACAGATGAAGGCTCAGGGTAGTTGCAGCAGCAGACAACACAAATAAAAGGATTTTTAGGTGGGAGAAAAGAAAGAAAGAAAGAAAGAAAGATTATAGTATAGGATGATGAATAAGACCAGATAAAAACAAATGTCTGTGATAATTTTGTATTACCTTTGGTCTGAATCTGATGGTTGCTAGGCTTCTTTCTTCCTTTTTTTCTTGTATATATGAGAATGAAATGAAAAAATATATAAAGACAATGTTTTAATTGGTTTCTTACTTGCGGAGCAGTGATTAGAAAGTGGTCTATCCGGTGGGTTTGGACCGGTAAACCTGTAATCTGGTCGGTAACGTTTGTTTTGTTATACAAAATATGCACAAACTGGGAGAAAATTGGCAACTACACACATTTTCCCCGGTTCTTGGCGTCAGATTCAATCAATAGAAAACAGTAAAATTTATTTCACTTATGAAAAATATGATTGTCACTTGCAGAGAGTTGAATAATGCATGAATACACATCCAAAGTAGATAGTTATATTATTAGCTTTACCAACTAGTATCCAGTATCCACAGGAGTATCAAGCAGTGGGATTAGCTTGGAGCTTTTATCAAAACCAAGATGAGAGAATCAGCTCTCACCAACAACCCCTCGGCGTTTGTGATCTCGTCCCTCATGGCTGAAGGACTAACAACACGTGCAGTAATGGAACATGCAATCTCCTTACAGATGAAGTGTTAACTATTCGAATCCAATTCACTACAACTTGTAACATCGATTTCATAAGGAACAAGTTTCTCCACCCTCCATGGGATCATCTCGAATATCTATCTCCTATCGAAATGTTTTGACTAGATTTCCTTTAGATTATGTCGTAGAAACTGTGTTTCCTTTGAGGATTCTGTAGCCGAGAAATTTTTAGCAGACTTTTGTGTAAACTAGGAGCTCATACCGACTCTGGTTTAATCTCTAATTAATGAAATCGATCGGTTTGTGAACAAAAAAAAATTGTACTCCTGTTTCTAAATAAGTGTCACTTTGAAACTTTACACATAAATTAATAAAGTTTTATAATAGACTAATATATTCCTATTTAATGTATGTTTAATTAAATGAAAATAATTTAACTAAAGTATTATTGGTTATTTAAAAAGGTAAAAAATAGATTTAATGTATAAAATTACATTAGGATTGTAGAATGATACTTTTTTGAAACAAAATTAAAAAGCTAAAGTGGCACTTATTATGAAACGGGATGAGTATTTGGTAAATCATATTTAATGGTTTATATGTGTTTCTCAAAAGCTTGTTTTTAACATCTTTCTGAAATTTGTTTTAACTTTCTTGATCTCTTGTATTTCATCATTTTTTTGTTATTGTATTTGATATATTTTATTTAAGTTAATAAGAGAAAATTTAGACAAAAAAAAACTACATCAGCTAAACTTAACATACTGGTGACATGCACGAACAATAAAAGATATTGCAACTACAGCGGAGATTTTTGAATTAATCTATGAGAATGTACTTTTTTTTAAAGGCAACATTTTTTTGGGAAAAAAAAATGAGAATATACAACTTGATCCAAACTCGAAACTCAACCTGATAAATAAAAAAACAGATTCAGTTATATAATCCATTAGAAAAGGCAAAATCCAACATAAAATTTATGTTGCATGTTAATGACTTTTGAATAAAGGTTAAACTTACTCTGTAAATAATTGATTCAGGAAGAAAAGAATCCAGTTTACAAAATATATATTTGCTTATTCATGTTACCATGTGTCAATTTTAGTTAGTGTAAACAATAATATAATTGCAAATCTTCCAGAAGGACCTAAACTGTATTTTGGCCAAAAAAACATACAAGGAGAACATAACCATAAGATTTTTTTTACCAAAAAAATTCATTAAAGAGGTAAATGACAACTACATCTTTACTCTATAGATTTCTTCAGTTTGATTTTTTTTTCAATTTTGTCCAGAACCTCCAAATATTTTTGAAATTTTATTTTGAAATCTAAAAACTATTACTTGAAAATGTCTTATTTGAATATATATATATATATATATATATATATATATAGAGAGAGAGAGAGAGAGAGAGAGAGTCAACAAATCTTTAACTTTTTAATAAAATTTATTTTCGTCATTTTAACTTTCTGATTAAAAACATTTTTAGGTTCTTTTGGAAGAATTATCTAATCTAAATTTTAAGTTTAGATTATTTAGCCATGAAATAATAAATTTTCTAATTTAATTAAACATATTTTAATCATTTTAGTCATTGTGTGCTATATTTGTGACAAAAAAAATATCCTAATGTATTTCTCTATAATTTAATATTTGAAATGTAAATTATGCATTATCTAATATTCAGTGTAGATGGTAATACTGTTTTTTCACTTTTAGCAATGGAGTTTTGTTATATTTTTGAGTTTCATTTATGTCATTTTTGCCAATGGAATTTCAAATTATTTTTCCATTTTTTACATTTAGTTTGGTCTTTTTGTAATATCTGATTTTATGATGACAAAAAAAGAAGGTAATATCTGATTTTATTAAAACACAATAACTTGGTCCATTTGGTTTATAACTTTATATGTGCTTAATTAGGTTATGGTTTGAAGTGCATCCCACCTAAGAACTCTTATTCTTTCATTCTCTAAAATAAAAACAGTATATAAGTAAAGGGTTTTACTCATTGATCAATAAATTTGATAATACATAAAAAAAAACTTCATATGGGCTAAATTGTTTTTTGTCAAAATGTTTACTTTCATATTTCGAAAGATATAATAACAAAATCACTGTTTTTATTGGCAAAAGGCTTTGAGGATATTCACATAATTTGATTAAATAGGTCTTTATCCATTAATTATTTTTTTAACTAGGATTATCCCCTATATATTAATTGAGAAACATTTGAAAAGATGTAACCTCAAGTTTGTATTAATTAAAAAGTAACCTTGCTTAGTTGTCAATCAATTAGCATACCAATTAAACTGACGTGGCAGCTTTAGGTTCAATTGAAATTTGCTAGGGAAAAATAATTAGAGACGCATATAACGCATGTAACATAGTTTATAAATTTATATATATCGCACGCATGTAATGGAAGAAAAGGAAAATATACGATTTAATAACGATTTGCATATATTAACTATAATAACTTCATTCCTTTTAATTTATGGAAGTGTATATGTAAAATGGAAATTACTTTGTGACCAAGTACATACTTAATGATAAAGGCAAGTGTATATGTAAAATGTAAAACTTAATCTGTTAACTTGAGAATTTATGTTAAAATTGATATATGCAAATCGTAAATATCACTTATATATTAAAGGAGAAACATTTAAAAAATTGTAACCTCAATTTTGTAATAATTAAAAAAAGACCCCATGCTTAGGTGTCACTCAATTAGGTATTCAATTACATTCAATTGAAAAATAAGTATGTCCACATTCGATTTTTAAATGTCGTTAGATACATTCATTGGTCAAATTATATGATATGATGATATGATATGATATTTATGATAGAAGTATTTATGATTGTTTTCCTAGATATAATTACTATTTTATTTTCTTTCCATAAATAAAACCTATGGAATTACCATAAATGACTAATATATATATATATGACACTTAATGATTGTTCCCCTATATATAATTACTATTTTATTTTCTTTCCATAAATAAAACCTACGGAATTACCATAAATGACTAATATATATATATGACACTTAATGATTATAATAATAAATATTTGATAACAGTTTATATATCCTCCATCATTTTTCTTTAATTTTATATTATTAAAATAAATTNTAATTTTAAAACCATATAAGTAAAAGTATCATTCAATAATAAAACAAATATATATACAGATTAAATTATATACCATATAAGATTACATAAATATTTTAATTTCAAAATTTTCAATAAATTTTCAAGAACAGTTATAAATTATAAACTTATTAAATTTTTCACATTGAAAATTTTTGTTATCAATGATTTAAATATCTTATTTCTTTTTTAATTTTATATTTTTAAGAGATATTAACAATCGATAATATGGTTATTTTTGGTATATACCTTACAAACCGAATGGATGTGATTTTATAAAAACCATAGGATTTGGATATGGTTGATTTATACCTGATTAAACTGAAACATGTAAATATGTATATATTTATAACGACGCATGAATATCTATTTGTTACATGAGTTGAACTATAATTATAATTTTTAAATAGCTAACAATTTATTACAACTGAGACTTCTTATTTTGATCTTTTGTTTTTTTAACAGTAACTAAATTGAAGTAAAGATTATAAATTTGATGGTCAACAATTAGTTGAAATTCCTTACAACTTTTATCTTTAAACAAATAGAGTTGTGTTCAATCAAAGACATATTGGTTTGATGAAAACTAAATATGGAAGAATATAAAAACTTTTCTTTCATTCTTCTGTTTTGTTTTTTATTTTTATTTTAAAAATTTAGTGTTTTGATATTAATTTTAGATTTGATCATTTTATTAGCAGATAGAAGCCTTTTTTATTTTTATTCTTTTATTTAAATATATAATATTTTTTAATAAATGACACTGTGGCAATATGACTCTAAANATAAACCAAATCAAACTGAAGTACATATAGATTTAGAATAGTAGTTATATTTTAATAATCGAAATACCAAAAAATCGGACAAAAAATTGAGCCGAACCGAAACCCGATATCCGGATTGAACACCTATAATCCGAATGAAACCGAACTATTGTTTCATTTTTCAAAACATAATAAAAATAATAGTTTCATTCCGCGCAAGACGCGGGTCTTATCCTAGTAAGGTAGTATAACAAACAATTGTTGAATTGATATAGTGATCGAAAGCAATTGCGGTTCATTTTGACAAGGCCGGTTTTCAAAATATCATTTTGGGATGAATTTTGGTTCAAAGAAAAACATAGTACAATCAAAGTATCAAATTACATAGATGACAACAAGACAGAAGGTATCCGCTACACAAAATAAACCTACACGATCATTACATCGCCCACAAAAGAGTCTACCAAGTTTGTTTTATTCCAAATAAATAAAGCCAACCCCGCTCACAAAAGGTAAGTAGAATGGAAAGTAGGGAAACTTAGACGTCGTGACAAAAAACAAAAAAAAAAGGAAACTTAGACCACAACTGAGTTTTAAGCACAAACACAAAGACATATATAGTCTTTAAGAGTGTTAATCAGAATCAATCAGTTGATCTGACCAGGTTGTCCTGAGCTGTAAGGTGGTCTTGGTCTCCTTCTTGTCAATCTTGCAACCATCGCCATAAATCCCGTTTCCTGAACCTATAATATAAATATATATGGGTTCAGTAACTCATATTATGACTTATATCCAAATTCAGTTAGGGCCTAAATTATATAAATTCTCAAGGTGACAACTCGCTAAATCAGCTCGTTTCCTTAAATTGTGTGTTTAGCTTTCTAAATACTTTAATTTGTTACGGATCGCCTTGCTAATCTGACTTAATTGTATTATTTGTATAACTAATTAACATAATTCATAAGAAACAAAACTGAGTAGACAAGATTTAGAACAAAAAGAGCTTACAGTTTCGGTTCCAGGGTCTTCTGATGATGATGACGATGGTGATATGGATGATGACTCAAGACCAAGACACTTCAATATGGCTTCAACAGTTCTGTGAAAGGCAGAACATGGAGAGTTGATAAGAGGGTAGTAAACTTCTTTTCCTTCATCTTCTTTTCTACTGCTTCTCTCTATTTCTCCATTAAGTTCCATTTTTCTTTTAACTCTTCTCTACTTAACTCTTCTTCTTCTGCTGCTCAATGCATTAAGTGTTGTGTCTCATTTGACCTCACCTGCTTCTCTGTAGTCTTACACACACACACCCTACCTTGCATTTAATACCTTCTCTTTTACTTTTTTTTTGAAGTGATTGTCTTTTACTTTTCTATTAATAATCTTACAGTTTTTTAATTTAATGATTAATTATGATGAGAGTTATTTCTTTTTGAGTTAGGAAGAAGTTCAGAAGCTCATTATATTTTCATGTCTGAAATCACAACATAAAATATAAGTTTATTCCAAACGTCACCCGGCTAATGTAATTTCTAAGTTTTGACTATAGTATTTTTTTTCTATTGAGTTATCGGCATTTGGAAACTAGGGTAAAAAATTAACTTAACTGCATAAAAAGTAAATATAAAATTTATTCTGTTCATTTTTTATATTCGAAATTAGAAAAATAATTTCCATAGCAAATAAAACGTTAATTTACTCAAAAAGTTGATGACTAGACAGGCTTATAAGTTGAAATAGTATCAATTAAAGCAATAAAGAAAAAAGCTCAGTTCTAATATTGAAAAACGAAGCCAATCCAAACGAAAATGAAATAGAAACTAGATTATAGTATTCTACTTATATAACAATAAAAATATTAATTAGATGGTTGATCTGAAATAGATGTGTAGCGAACTCAGGGCAGTTTTGTTTCTTATTGTTCATAATTTTGCTTATAGATCTTTATTGTTGTCGTCCTCTTTACCTCTTTGGACCAAGGTTCCCTTTTGCAATAGATGATGAGTCGTCTCTTACGAAAACACAAATAAATGTTCGTATTTATTATTCTCCCAGACTTTTATTTTGTCTTCTTTTGTTACAGCCTAAACTTATAATTATTCTTGCATCGACAACTTCCTTTTTATATTCTATTTTATTTGAGGTTAGAAATTTAACGTTACAACTATTATATTATTGTTACTTGGTCTTGAAAACTATTGTCCTTCTCGTCTCTATTCACTTGTCTTCTATCCTTGCTTCGAACCAAATACATTATATATTTCAAAAGATGATGCAATGTTAAGAATGTTGACAAGTTCTACCACATTCCAAAACAAATGCTAACTAAATCGATATTAACTTAATCGTTGGACGGTTGGGAGTAGGTATTTCAAGTTTTTTAACGACTAAGCATGAAGTGTATCAAACTTGATTCTGGACATGAAATTGAAGAACTCGAGCTTCGTCAATGGTGGAGATAAAGATTGATGAAGATAGGAGATGAAGATTAATAACCGTAAAGTTTATAAAGTTTGTTATTCAGCTCAACTTTACAATCATGTACAAATGTTTCTATACATAGCTGGTTAAGCAAACGGAAACTTAAACCAGAAAATAAATCTAAACCGGATCAACTAAACCAACTTAACCATGTACTAACTAAACCATCTAATATACTCCCTTCAAATCTGTATTTTTGTAGTAGGAAGATATAGACTTGATAAAGACAAACGCTGCAACAAAGAGAGGAAAGGTCTTGGATGTAGAGGCTTAGTAAGAACATCAGGAAGTTGATTACCAGACGAAACATGAAGAGTGAGCAACTTGCCCAATCCGCATCAGCAAAAGCATTTAGACACAACTCACTATCAGTTGAATACATCAGTCCCTGGCCTGGATCAGTCTTAAGATACCTGAGCACTTTCAACGCTGCGTGATAATGCACATCTGTAGGAGCAGAGAGGAACTGACTTAGCTGATGAACTGCGAAAGTGATGTCAGGTCTTATAATGCATAAGTACAAAAGACGACCAACAAGCTCTTTGTAGTGCTTAGCAGAAGGTAATAACATTCCAAGATCTTTGGTGAGATGTAAATTTGGATCCACGGGAATAAAATTAGGTTTGCATCCAAGTAAACCATAAGCTTCAAGAAGATTCAGAGTGTACTTACGTTGGCTAACAGATATTCCACCAGATGAGTGTGCAATCTCCAAGCCAAGGAAGAAACATGCAGGACCTACTTTGATCTTGAACTCAGAGCGAAGTAAAGTCTTGAGTTGAAGAAGTGCATCATCATCATTGCTTGCAATCATTATATCATCCACATATACTAAAGCAGCCACAAAAGAAGATCTAGAGACTTTAACAAAGAGTTTTCAGCCGGAGTCTGGACGAAGTTATCTCCCAATAAGACTGAAGAAAATCTCTTGTACCATTGACGACTTGCTTGTTTAAGTCCATATAATGACTTGTGAAGTCTACCAACTGGATTAGGTGGAAGAACAACACCAGGAACATGCGTATAGCCTTGAGGAAGAATCATATAAATTTCCTCATCAAGATCACCATACAAAAACGCATTAGAAACATCCATCTGGCTAAGCTTGCATCCCTTAATAGCTGCAAGACTGAACAGAAGTTTCACACTTGTAAGTTTAGCAACAAGAGAGAATGTTTCCAAATAATAAATCCCTTCTTGTTGTGTGAAACCTTGTGCCACCAAATGAGACTTGTAATGCTCCACAGTACCATCAGCGTTATACTTGATGGTGAAGATCCATTTACACCCAACAACATTCTTACCAGATGACAAAGTTACAATATCTCAAGTTCTATTCTATTCAAGAGCGTCCAGTTTCACATTCACCGACTTAGTCCATACATCAGAAGTGATAGCTTGTTTAAATTTTTTAGGTTCTCGTTCAAGAGTATAAGCAAGAGTATATAGTTGAAAAGAAGGAGACAAGCTATCAGCACGACACCACCATCATCATATCTTCTTGGAGCTCGTTTCCTTGTACGTACTTTCGGTGCAAAGTAGTACGATAAGAAATGTGATGTTTCTTCCGTCAAACTTCCCGCAACAATAGAACCTTCAACTTTTTCTAGGTTTTTGGCTTTTCCTTTCAAAGTTTTCATGGCCCTTTCATACTGATACATCCATCCATAATGCACAGGTCCACGAAGTAATGCCTCATACATGATGTGGATAACTAGGTGTTCCATGACGTCAAAAAAGTAGGCGGGAATATTTTCTCCAAGTTGCAGATTAAGATGGGGATGTTTTCATGAAGTTGTTGGACAATTTCCTCTTTAAGAGTGTGGGTGCTCAGATCCCTAAAAATGCTCCAATTCCTTATATATTACAAAAAAAAATTAAACACAGTATTATATTCATATATATATAAAGAAATAAATTAATTTTTGCGTCGTATTATATTAATTACCTGAAAGTGCTTCATGTACTTTTGCCGGTAGTAGCTCCACAAAAGCAAAGAGAAGTAGTCGCTGCATAAAGACATGACAATCATGGCTCTTCATCCCGGAGAACTTTTGCCCTTTCTCAACACAAATTGAGAGATTTGAAACATACCCATAAGGGAACTTCACTTCTGAAGCAACCCAGTTGAACAACGCAGACTTTTTTTCTGATGACAGTCTGAATATCGGAACTGGTACTTGTCCATTGCTTTTTATATGTAGCTCACTCCTTGAGCAGATATCGAGTAAGTCCAACCTCGATTTTACGTTGTCTTTCGTCTTCCTTGAGACATTCAATATAGTGTTCACGATGTTCTCAAAAAAGTTCTTCTATATATGCATCACATCGAGATTGTGGCGCAAAAGAAGATCTTTCCAATATGGCAATTCCCAAAATATACTCTTTTTGTACCAATTGTGCTGAACACCATAAGAATCAGGCATATTAATGGGAACATGTCAATTTCCACCACGAGGAGCTGTTTCTAGAGCACTGTAGTAATCGATTTGCGCTTCGATTTGTTCTCTAGTTAAGTATGGAGGAGGAGTGTCTCTGACAACCCTTTTGTTCCTGAACAATGTCTTGTTTCTTCGGTATGGGTGGTAAACTGGAAGAAATCAACGGTGACAATCGAACCAAGTAGTCTTCCTACCATTCTTCAACTGAAACACATATGTCATTCCATTACAATATGGACAAGCTAATCTCCCATGTGTAGTCCATCCAGAAAACATCCCATATACAGGAAAGTCACTTATGGTCCACAAAAGCATCGTTCACATCGTAAAATTTGTTTTCGTTGAACAATCATATGTCCTCACCTGTTGACCACAAATCTTTCAACTCTTTTATCAGTGGTTGTAGAAAAACGTCGAGAGATTATTTTGGATGCTTTGGACCAGGTATTAATATGGTCATGAATAGAAACTCTCGTCGTATGCACATCTCCGGTGGCAGGTTGTACGGTGTAAGAAAGACTGGCCACAATGAATATTGTCTCTCTGACATTCCAAATGGACTAAATCCATCAGTGCAAAATCCAAGATACACATTCCGGATATTGCTAGCGAAATGTGGATGTACATTGTTAAAAGGTTTCCAAGCTCTTGCACCTGATGGATGAGTCATCTCTCCATCCGTCTGAGTATGCTCGGCGTGCCATCTCATCCCTCCAGCAGTCTCCTCAGATTGGTACAATCTTTTCAATCTGTCTATGATTGGTAAGTACCACATCCTTTGGTACGGTACCCTATTACACCCTCGACCTTGCGGTTTGAATCCTGGCTTCTTACAAAATTGACATTCTTCTAACTTCTCATCATCTCCCTAGTAAATCATGCAGTTGTCGATGCAAACATCTATCATCTTCGAGGGCCACCCAAGACTATATACCAATTTTTGAATCTCCTAATAAGATTCAGCAGACACATTGTCTTCTGGCAAATACTCTTTAAACAAGTCTGCCCATGCATCCATACAATTTTCAGGTAGGTTGTGATCGGTTTTAATACTCATCATTCTAGCAGCCAACGACAATTTAGACAGACCTTCTCTACAACCACTGTAAATTGGCTCATTCGCAGCTTCTAACATTTCATAAAACTTTTTTTGCATGTAAGTTAGGTACTTCAACTTCATCATCATCATTAGTTACAAATACATCACCTACCATATCATGAACCCTATCACAATCTACCATTTGTTCATCTTGGTGATGATAGCTATTTTCATTACGCAAATGATCAACCGGTTAAACTTGAAAATTGTTATTACTACTGCTATCTTCATTCCTACAACTAGCATCTTCTCCATGTTGATACCAAATATAATAATATCGCATGAAATCTCTATTTATTAAATGCTTCCAAACATTTTAACGAGGGCCT